GTGAGCCGGAGGCTAAAAAACTGTGAGCTAGCTCACACTTGCTCAGCTTAGAGGGAACACTGCTCTCAACCCCCAACTTGGTCAGGACCTCCACAAAGTTGCTAGTGGAAGTGGTAGATGGGTGGAGGGGTTGTTACCTTTGCTTTCCAGTGATGATTTTGCTTTCATTGGGAAAATTCATTTGATCAGATATCTACAGTTGGCTTACGTTACGGAACTGAAGCTGAACGAAAAACAGGATAGGAGTAAATAAATACAGGCTGAAGGAAAGTAGGGTAGGTTCATTAGTTCTCCACCCCTGCTGTAAACGGATGGACCTGTAACACAAGACCCCTTCTAGGTCTAGGTCTTATTTTGTAAGTGTAACAGACAGACAATTATCCAGTGTACCAGATGACAGAGAGGGGGATCTTTCTGAGTAGACTCTCTGAGTAGATCTGATTACAATTGCTCCCTTAGTATGGTCAAATGAACTGCACTGAGTTGCCATAAAAAGGTAAAGGTTCCCTTGCTTGAAAGCCAGTCTTGTCCGACTCTAGGGTTGCGGTGCTCATCTCCGTTTCAAAGCCAAAGAGCCAGCACTGTCTGAAGACGTTTCCGTGGTCATGTGGCCGGCATGACTAAACACCAAGGCGCACGGAACGCTGTTACCTTCCCACCAAAGTGGTACTTATTTATCTACTTGCAATTTCTTGCTTTCGAACTGCTAGGTTGGCAGGAGCTGGAACTAGAGATGGGAGCTCACTCCATCATGCGGCAACTCGGGTCTCGAACTGCTGAACTACTGACCTTCCACAGCCTGCAGTTCAGCGTCTTAACCACTTGCCATAGTAGATACCTTTCTACATTTTGGTGATACGTGCTCTAGCTGTCCCTGCTTAATTTTATTTTGCCTTCAGATGGGACCTTTTCAAAACACTGGTTTAATATTAGAGTTTTTCAGGGTGCGGCTTTCCCCCCACCCCACACAGAGTCTTCAGAGATTTAATCTGAGGGCACAGCCCTAGATACAACTTTTCCTTAGTACACATTAATGTACACTAATAATAAGGCATCATGCAGTGTGTCTCTGCAGTTTTAGTACTACGCACCTTTCCAAGCGGTAAGAGGTTCTGGGGACACCACTTCCCATGGTTGGTGGTTCCATTTTATAGGAGCACTGGTGACTTGCAGTGTTTTGTAATATTTGTACTGGTACAGAGAATGGGAAAGTCAAAGAGGTACTGCTAAGGCAGCAGATCTGCTAGTACACCACATCAGATTCCCAGAGAGATCCTGCATCTGCAGGGTACTTCAGCCAATTCACAATAGTACTGATCCATGCCAAACTCAAAACTACTCTTCTTCAAACACAGATTTCTCTCCTGTCCCTTCGCATCACCTAATTGATACCTAGTGGGAAAACATCCAGTCCCTGAGATTACAGTCCTATGATGGGGAAAATAAGTCTTGTTCCACTCAGTGTGATTTACTTCTGAGTAAGACCTGTTTGGATTTCTCTCTTATATGCTCTGGCCGCTCCAAGGCATCACAATTTATTCTAAGCCCATTCACAACAACCAGCCAAACCCATAGTACTGTGTGGCTGCCGCACAGCATCAATCTAAGAGCACGGTCAGACTCTAAGGGCACATGATGCAGTTACCATGCTGACGTTAATCAAGTTTGGGTTTCATTGGCATCTTTAGTGTAAAACAAGTATTTTGAACAATTATACAATTATGTTCCTTTGAAATATATTTTTAGCCAAAAGAACAAATGGCATCTTAACTCTACAATCAACAGAGAATCGACTTGAAGAATAGCTGCATGCATTGTTGTTGTTCAGTCGCACAGTCGAGTCCGACTCTTCGCGACCCCATGGACCGCATCACGCCAGGCCTTCCGGTCTTCCGCCGTCCTCTGAAGTTTGCTCAATTTCATGTTCGTTGCATCTATGACACTGTCTAACCATCTCATCCTTTGCCGTCCCCGTCTTCTTTGACCTTCAATCTTTCCCAGCATCAGGGTCTTCTCCAGTGAGTGCTCCAGTGAGTGCTCAATGCATGCATTGAGTAGAGTATAATTTCCAGTAATGTGTAAGAATGCTGGAATGATTCCAGACTGCTCCTGTTCTCATGTGTAAAATCTTAGAACCATAGTTTCTATGACTGTGAGACTGCAAGAAGGAAGGCAAAAAGAAACATTAAAGACATCCAAGCTTCCACAAGACAGAAGAGTGGCGTTTAATGTATAGCCCCATAGCCTTTCATGGTCTTAAAAAAA